GTTGTTGTTATTTCTTAATGCCGGCCTAAATCCGACCCATAATTCGGGCCGATCTGCTGAATTTTTGTTTCTCCGCTAATCTATCCTATCACTATCTATGGTGACTTTGCTCCTAATATGTTTTTATTATGTTTTTTAAAATTTTTAGGTTTTTTGGGGCGTAGAACATTTTTACTTAGAACACCTCACATTGATTAATTAGCCAGTTTTTGAGATAATGTATACATAGGTGTAAAACACCGTAAGTGCGTTTTAGTAAATTCATAAAATTTTATATGTCAAAATTCGCCTAATTGCCAACACTGCACACACTAGTCTATATTAAGGAACCACTTAAGTTTCATGTTACACTTTATCTCGTTTTCTGATTGGTTAGAATCGAAAGAAATTTGGGAGACGGACTGGGAAAACCCCTGCTTGAAGGCAAGTGTCAGGAGACGGTTTTCCTAGTCTATTTCTCAATTAGTAAATGCGCAGATTTTCGGAATCACTTACCGGGTAAGTTACTATTCTGGTAGCTTACCATGAAAATATAGATTGTGATAATTTTACGACACAGTTTCGAACATCCAAATAATAAAGGCCAATTAGTAAGCATTTAAAAGTACGTACTAACATGCGTACATTCTTGATAGGTGTACGAAATTGAATGTTAAAAGATGTAAATGGAGATCCCAAATTTCAGGAAATAATCCTTTTATATAAATTAATTATAAGACAAATTTTATCATATTAATGGACATTATTTGGATCGACATTATCATTAAGAGTAAGATCATCCAATAACTCTTCTAATTTTACTTCGGGGAAATCATCTTCCTCGTCATTATTTTCTTCAACTATTGTATCTATATCCATTGTATCGGAAGCTTTATACAAATTAATATTCTGTCGAAGCTCTGAATCTTCTTCCAAATCTCGTAAGAACATCTCATAGTCTTGGTCCATTTTCTCTAAATCCAATTGCTCTTCTTCTTTTGCCAAAGATTTTAGTTTCCAATTACGTTTATTTTTCCTGCGTCTCTGTGAATAAGATTTTTTGACGAGAACAACATCGGGAAGAGAATCCTGATTGAGACTATCAAAAGTGATATCATTAAAGTTGGATGATGAAAGATCGTATCCCATAGTATTGTCGCCTGGACTAAGAATCCCACCAAGATGAGATCGTGCAAAAAAGGTGATGTCATTTTTTCCAAAGTCGGCAGAGCGTGCTACTTGGATGTCGGCAAGTATATACTAAGACAGGTGTAATTTGTTAATGAATTTAAAATTACTTTTGCTTTGAATGCTTATATTATTACCTTGCCACGAGTGGGGCCTAAAGGTTCAACATCCAAAACATAATATTCTACCAAATTCTTTGTTGTTGCCAAGGAATTAAACGGCTGTCTCCAATATACTGATGTGGATATTTCAGAAACTAATCATAATATATACATACACATATATATATATACATATATAAGTTAGAATACAATTGGACAAATAAATATTAAGCCTGTTTAAAATGATTACCAGCCAAGGTGTTCGGATCCATCACGTGTATTGAATTTCCCACACGGTAGCAAAGAACTAGTGGGCTATTAAAGTAATTTATTAATAAAAAATAAATAAAAGTAATAAAAAATAAACGTGATTTAAATAGCAAAACTGATTACTTATAATTCTGGTTAAATTTGCAGATCATTTGGCCCGATTCGAGATCAAAAAACTCAGAACTTGATCAAACGATCAGCAAATTTGACCAGAATTAAAAGTAATTGGTTTTTACGAAAGATCAATAAAACCTAATGTTGCCCAAAGAGCGCGCAACCTTCAATGGTAAACAAACTAAATCATCTTTACATATAGGAACAATCTCCACAGAAAAAGAAAACTTATAATTAGATGTATTGCTATGAATGTCAGTTGAAATTAATCGCTCAGAAGATTTTGATCTGAAAAAAAAAAAAAAAAAATTTAAATATTTAAATCTATACAATATATACATAGGTTATTTAATTAGCCAACTTACTTAATTGGAACAACAGCATTTAGAAATTCGACCATTTTGACAGCATGGGATCTGTGTGCATAAAAAAAGTCAAGACCATCCTTGACTTCTTTAATATTGATCGTGTCTTTGTGTGCATAATGTTTGAGGATGAGCTGTTCTAAAAACAAGAAAGTCCGTTTGTGATTGACTTTTTGTCTGACTTGGACCATTGCTTGCCACGTATTTTTTGCCATAAGGCGTGTACAATCACCACATTGTTGATGATTAACCACGAACTCGACTTCTGTAATTTGTTGGATGATCGTTGATATGAAAACCTAAATACCATTTTATAAACGATAAGAATTTTATTTTACGACCTGCATAAAAATAAAGTATGCCTACCTCTTTCTGAACAGTTAATTTGACTTTAATTCTTCTTGAATGTGGTTCTGTCCATATGAAGCCAGCATCAATAAGTTTGACCTTATTCAAACCCTTCAATTTTTTGAGACATAGTGACAGTAATTCCCTGCTTTCTAATTCGGCACGAACCCATATATTTGGTGGCTGTAAGTATCTTTCACAATTGCGACAGAATTGTAAAGTAGCACGCTTTGGGATACCGTCAGTAATATCCACTTCATTCCGAATGCAATTAATGCACATATTCGAAGGGTTTGGGGCAATGGCAGTCCCACATTGGCAGCAAAGACTATTATGTTAAAAATTCTTTATGAGAGAAGGAAACAAAAACGTTAATGTATATTCTAAAGCTTACATTAACTGCTCGACAACAACAGGATCAAACTGCATTTTAGTCTTTTTTTTTTTTTTTTTAACGAACGGTAATTTATAGCAACACGTTTAGTAGATTAGTCATGTAGATTAGTCATTGAATCGATCAAAAATTGCTGGTCATGTGAGCAACGTCATTGCCGCAGTTGCAATGCAGATTCGAAATTTGAAATATGTTTTTACATTATTAATGGGTAGTACACTGTACTACATTGTGACACATTTTAACCTGACTTTTCTACATACCAATAAAAGCTAGTGCGCTCAAATTTAATAGGCTACATACTTTGGTCAGGGGCTTTCTACAGTTATTATTACAG